AGCCCTGGCAGGGGGAAGGAGGCCCCTCCGTGCCCCCGAGCAGGCAGGCGCTGCAGCCGGGCACGCAGGCCTGGGCCTGCCCTCGTGCCCTGCCAGGACTGAGAAGCCCCAGGAAGAAGCCCTGGGAAGCGCAGGATGCGCCTGGCAGCTCCTTTGGTGCCCGCTCCAGGAGCAGTTGGAGAGGCGGCAGGACCGAGCCTGAGCACTGACCTGGCAAAGCCTGAGGAAAAGCGAAGCCCCACGAGCGGGCACTGCTGCTGCCCTCCCTGCAGACTGAGCGGGAGAGGGAAGTCACCTTCCCTTCATACAGCGCCTCAACGCGCTCCTCTGCCGAGTTCCTCACAAGCCAGATCCAAAAAACCCCGTTACACCGCCCAGGCAGTCGGGTACACAGGGCACGCAGAGGACATTTCTGTRAAGTGCTCAGAAAACCCAGGACTCCCCCATGAAGCGCTGCCACATTCCAGCGGGCGCTCTGCCCCCCGCCCCGGTCAGTCCCAAGATTGCTGCCCGCTAGCAGCTTTCTAGATGCCGCAAATGACATTAAAAAGCGGCACCCTGAAACCAGGACATGGCACGGAAGCTGCTGACCGTAAAAGTGCCCCCGTGAAGCGGGTGTAATGAGCCCAGCAGCCACGCAAAGCGCGGGGGGGAGCTGCGAGGCCCAGCGRAGCCCTCGGGTGCTGCTGGCCCTGCCCTGGGGGCAATACCTGCCACGGCGCCTCCATCCACCGCGGGCACTCATRCGGGGAAGCAGGAAAATAAATACAATAAAGATGCTACGGGGACAATAGTGATGTTGTTAGAAAATCACTTTGCAAGCGCTCGGGTTTAYTTGGTGTTTGTGTAGCACAATCAGAATTGGAAGGGGCTGGCAAAGCCCCTGGCCGCATTTCTGMAAATGAAGGCTCTGTTCTGCAGCATCGCGGCTGGTGCAGCCCCCCTCCCACAACCATACGCCTCGGATGGCCATAGTATGGCATGTTAGAATCCACACATCAACCCCTCTTTAAAACGAGGAGCTGTATTTGAAAGTGTATCTCCCAGAACAGCTTCTCCCCCTTGGTTGTAGGAAGCGAATCCCCTGCAGATGAGAACACATGCGCCAGGAGCAGGCACCGCTGGAGCCTCCAACGTGAAACACAGCCACACGGTTCCACAGGCAGCAAAATCCGTGCCCGTCTCCCACAGCAAAACCACCACAAATGCTTGTGCCCGCCTGCACCTTCCCCACACTGCACGGCTGGCTGCTTCACCCAGGGCACGGGGCACCCTCGCACCGGCCGCGTGGAGGAACCSAATGAGCTGCCCGTGAGACTCCAATGCAGAGGAGAGGAGCGCACGCTCATGGTGGGGAGCACAGGAACTGGCCTAACCCCTCGCTCCTTGTCTGAAAGGAAACCTACAAAACACCCCCACAAGAGAAATCGAGAAATTAAAACTTAGGACCACAAGATAGTAAAGAGCTGTGGATTTAACAGAGCTACTGCTTTCATAGCCCATTACAGCCTCCCTGCTGCCTTCTCCCTTTGTCACCGGCACAAACAAGCCTTTTTTTGCTAGTGGTCCTGCAGGGAACTGTCAGTCGCTTCTGCTCACACCCCTTTTCGGTCCATAGGTGCTCCTTTTTTTTTCTCAAGTGGTCAAATTGATTAATATAATTAGATTAAGCTAAGAGCAATTGCATCTAAGCTGTAGTTAGCTCGAATTTGGCTGCTCTCTGTCAAACCTGATAAAGAGACCCTGAGCCCACAAGCTTGTTTGCTTTTTTGTTCAGCTATATCATATGATCTAATAAAAGATATTACCTTTCTCCACAAACCTTGCTTCCCAAAGATCTCTAGACCATCATGGCTACAACAGAAACACTTTTAGTTTTAATATCTTGGCGGCTTTACCCRATTCTCCTAGCTTCTCTTATCTATAGAACAGAATGCAATAAAATATATTCTGTTCTTTATCGATTCTTAGACCGTTTTCATAACCATAATATCCAAGCATCTTCCAGGCATCTTACATTAAGCAAACCAACAAAATATTTGTCACATGTGCATGTGTTTTTTTTTCTGGTTCCTGTTCTCTGCCCAAGAAGAAAATGATGCATGCAGCAAAGTGCTTTTTTTGTGTTTTTTTTTCCTTTCCTCTATTTATGTTGCACCATGTTTATAACAGGGAAGACAGGAATGATGGTAATTTTTATGATATGCCATATTTCCTGGAGAAGTTAATTTGAGAGTGTTTAGCCATCCCCAGAAAGGTCGGTCTCCTGCACACAGGAACATTTTAATATGTCATTCCCAAGCAAGGAAAAGCTCGTCTGCATTCTTGAAATAGGAACTGCCTAATAAAACAAATAAATGGAAAAAAAAAAAAAAAAACATTTCCCTTTCTCTGGAAAAAGAGTTCCACCTCATCATCTTCAGTAGGTAAAGTGCAAACAGACTAGAGTACTGCAGAGTACTGACAGGCAAGCTAGCGGGGCATGAAGTTGTAAATAGGAGTATCTGGAAACCAAAAGAAGTAACGTATTTTTTAAGTGCATTGAAGCAGACAAGCAAAGGGCAGCTAAGGAGATAGTGGAAATAAACTACTTTGTGCTAAAAAAATAGGAATAGTTCATTTATGGGTAAGGAGTCACAGTTCTGTGCCTCTAAGAGAAGCTGAGTGATCCCGCGTGCCTACAAGGATGGCAGGAATAACACAGGGTGGTAGGAATAACACAGGAGCTACCGAGAGATGGAAGCTGATGTGTAGAGAGGATTCATCTGTGCTCAAGTACTGAAAGCAGAAATGCCAGAAGACCTCAGGGAAACGGTAGACAGAAGATTTAATATGTTTTTGCAATGTGATATGGCAGCAGAAATCATGCAGCTAATTTAATTTGGGATTGTAAAGGCAGAGACCTCTTCTCACAGACATRGGCAGTAGTCCCATTTTTTAATATAGCGCTGAGATCATACTTTGAGGACATGTTCAGTTCTGGACAACTCGGTGCTAGCTAGATGTCAGCAACTTGGAGGGAAATAAAAAAAGGAGGAACATTAAATGATAAAAAGGCTGGAAGGGATTGCACTGTGTGTAGGTTGGTCAAATAACAACTGAAGAGCCTCCTGGGAACTGTGTATGAGAATTTCAGGGGTGCAGAAACACCACCGAGAGAGACTGTTTAAGGTTGTCTGAGGGCGTGTAAGTGATATAAATGTAAATGAAATTAAGCGAAGGAAACATTAATCTACAACAGTGCAAGATAACATCCCAGAGGAGCTGCCAGCACCTGATTCCGTTGAGACTGGAAAGCACACAAGGAAACAGTKAAGAAACACTGGCTGCAGGAAGGGATTCAATAAGGGCATATCCCATATTGGGATATCCCATCCCTGAATGTTTCACTGCCACTGGCTGCGATGGCTTCAGCRCAACGGGTCACAGCCCTGTAGGTGCTGGAAACCCTCCCTTCTCCTCACCATTTCTGGAAATACTGGAGACCAAAGCAATGATGCTTAGTTTATCACAGCTGAACTACTGTATCCGAAGGGACTGGGCAGCAGACAGTTGCGTTCATAGATTTTTCCCATCTACTGCTGTGATTTTCTTGAGCGCTGCTGAGGACAGTGGGGATGGCAGGTCTGGTTTTGGATCTTGTCACTGCGACATTCACTGGGACACCATAGTCCTTCCAGGAGAAGCCCTGGACAGCACTTAACTCTTCCAGGAAGTCTGTGGCATTGTGAGACAGCTGTTAATTGAAACAGGSGGGAGGAGAGAGGAAAGCTTTCTTATTTCTTAGTTAGAGGAATGATTGCAGGAAATCTGAGAATCCCTTTCTTAACAGCATAATAAAGTCACCTTGAACCTACACGGATAACACCTTTATATCGCCCAGTGCTGTCATACATTCCGGGTTGCCTGCAACACAGAAAAGGCAACCTGTCAGTGGGCTATGTTCCTCCCAAACGAGGGCTGCTGTATTACACTGCAGCTCCCTGAATGTGCCACACACGCACTGCTTAACAACAACAACAAATAAGAAGAAGAATTTWAAAAAATCTGTCGTGGGTTTCACTGTCTTTACTTTTTGGAACTGTGTGTTTTTCTTCTACCACCACCAYTTAGAGAGGCATTTGCACTGGTAATCAGCAGCCAAGCCATACCCAAAGCCCACAAGGGCATCGGCCTTCCTAACTGTTGACCTTACGCAGCCTTTCCCTACACAGAAATGTCATGATCTTCGGGAAGGAAACCTCTCTGCTTATTTACTGAAATGGATAGCACGGTCTAACAAACAGAAGCATGCAGCCAATATAAGAG